CATTTCGGGGGGGATCGTGGGGGATCGCAGTTCCCCCGGGTGAGGTACGGGGAGGCGGGGCACATGACGAAGCCCCACCCCCTGCTTCCGGCCCTCATTCAGCCAGGAGAGAAGCCCCGCCTGATGAAGCCCCCCCCCCTGCTTCCGGCCCTCATTCAGCCAGGAGGAGGCAGGAGAAGAGGGAGGGTAAGTTGCTTCCTCCCTGCCTCTCCCCACCCCTGCCTGCCTGGGGCCAAGGAGGGCCTTCACGGGGCTTCCTCGCACTCCCACCGGCCTTGCAGGTCCACCGCCGGGCCCCTCATGGGGCTCGGCAGTGGAGCTGCAAGGCCTGCGGCGGCGGCCGGGACCGTTGGGGGCGGGGTGTGTGGCCTTATGACACACGCCCGGTGATGTCAGGGGGTGTGGCCTTATGACACACTTCCGGTGATGTCAGGGGGTGTGGCATATGCTAATGAGTTATGCTAATGAGTTCTCCTAGCTCTTTTTCTACGAAACGACCCCTGCTGAGCGTGATGCTCTTCCGTGGGCATACAGGGAGAGTACTTGGATGGGAGGCCAGCAAGGACGTCCAGAGTTGCTGCGCAGAGACAGGCCATGGCAAACCCACTGTGGTTCCTCTCTTGCCTTGAAAGACCTGCGTGGTCACCATAAATCAGTTGTCACTCGACAGCTGCACAGTTATTAGGCCCTGGCCTGCATGACCCAGGCTGGCTCCGTCTTGTCAAATCTCAGAAGCTAAGCAGGGTTGGCCTGGTTGGTCCTTGGAAGGGAGACCCCCAAGGAAGTCCAGGGTCGCTACACAGAGGGTGCGGTCAGACGGCATGCTGGGAGCGGTTTAAATTGCTCCGGCTCCATTGCAGTCTTTTTTAACCTGGAGAATCGCGATCACACTCACCTCCTTGCTCCGGATTGCTGCGCAGCTACATAACTCCCTGCCGTCCACACGCAGGAGTGTGCGTTGGTGTTGTTTCTCTCTCTCTCTCAGTTTGGGCATGCGCACAGGCAGCCATCTGTAGAACTAAAATTTTCGCGCGTGCGCGGAACAGCGATTTCCACTTCAACCTGACTGCTGTAACACTTCCCTTTAAACTTTAAAGGAACACTTCCCTTTAAACGTTGACCCCGAAAATGGCCTCCATGAGATCCCGAACTCGTCTAAACACTAAAACTAGGCACCGTTTAAACATTGTTTTTAATAATGCGGTGGCGGACCTCCGCCTATGCGCACACCGCCAATGCTTTAAAAAAATGGTGGGAGAAAAGTGGAAGTCTCGGGCAGCTTTCGAGCGGGGAGGGGGGGTTTAAACTGGAAGTGGCTCGACACCGGAGGAGCGATCACACAGGGGGAAAGTGCGGCTGGAACCGGAGAATCAGGAAAACACCACTTGGGGACCTGGTATCAAAATACTCCGGGTTAAAGCGGTTTTGAGCCGGAAAGCAGTGGCTGGGGACGGGAGGCAGATGTTGACTGTGTGATCGC